CACTAGCAGTGCCAGAACGAGCAGGTGTTCCTCCATCTATAGCTGTGAGTATCAAATTATGAACAGGCTGCTCCTCTCGATCTAAAGTCTGTTTCAAGATCAAATCCGCAAACTTTGATCCATCTCTTCCGGTCTGAACTTCTATATTAAAATATTCACTTTCACTCAGATAGTATGTTTTCACTGAATTGGTTCCGACATCAGGATCGACTGCATTACTTAGAGAAAATCTCTCTCCTCTTGACGTCGCTTCAGATATATCTAAATGTATGGTGTCTCTTCGAAATTGTGGGGCGTTGTCGTTTATGTCAAGAATTTCTACTTCTATATTAAATATTCTTACTGGGTTATCTAGTATAACCTCTAATTTTAGATAGCAAGACGCTAATGACTTTGTAGGGCAAATATGCTCTCTGTCGATTTTCTCTACAACATACAGCTCACCAGTCTCTTTGTTTAGATCTAAATATTTCTTGTTCGCGATGATATCAAGACGCATCTTCCTCTGATTCAGTGTTTTCACATCCAGCCCGAGGTCGGTGGCGAGATTAGCCACGACGGATCCTTTTTTCATTTCTTCTGATATTGAATAATGAGTCACTGAGGCCGATGTGCACCGAGCAAAAGAAAAAATTATAGCGAGGATCACGTACCTCTCGTAAGACTCCATTGTTCTGGAAAGCCGTCTTGTATGGGAGTTCATCATATATAATGTTTGTTTCCAGCAATATTCATTTAAAAAATTTCCTTCTTTCTTCTGAGCCCAACGCACATAGTGTGAATTCCAAAGCACATTTAAGCTAAATCAAGGCCAGCGCGTTTCGCAGCCGAGTTTCAGCACGACGACGCTGTCCTCTTGCTTCTAAACGTACGAAGACCATCACGCTTTTCTGCTTTTATGTTCTTTCCTTTGCATTTTACTGATAGAATAGCGCCACCCCTGGGATTTTGTCAGAGTCTTTGAAACGCAATGAACACCACACGTCTTCAATTATTCTTGATTTCCGTTGGTTTTTGCATATATTTTTGTTTTTAATACACACGGACCTGGGTACCGTTAATGGTGGTCCCAAAACATAAACGATGCTCGTTTAGTACATTTAATGACTTCAAATTGATTATTGCTGAAAAAAACAATCAAATTTCAGACACAATTGACCAGTCAAAACGATGAACCTTAATCACCTCACGATTTCTGCATTATAAAACGAAATATCACGGAAATACTGCAGACGATTTTCAAATATGGTAGCACTTCGAGTTGTCATTACCTTATATAATTTCTCATTATAGATCTAATGATTCTGAACGCATATCTCCATGACCATGGTTGTTTAGATGACGTCGTGATCTAGTCACTCTTTACCACTAATAAAAAAAAATATTAGAGATAGAAAAAGTACTAAATTGTATTAATCATAAATGGACGGGTTGCCAGTGTTGCTTATACAGAATGCACAGGAAAAATATTGAAAATACATGATATTACATTTTATTTACACAAAAACAAGAACAGGGAGGAAATGGCTTGGAAGAATGGCCACAACCAAATAATAGATTAAGTTACTCTACCAACATGAAGATAAATGCGCACTTAAAATTGATTGTTAAATAAGAAAAAAATGACTATGCTAACAGTAATAACATAAAACATATGTATGAAAATCAATAAATGTGAATAAGTCATGAAAAAGTTAAGCTTTGTGGATCGTGAATGCAACATTTTTTACAAAATATAAGTTATTTTTTCTGCTAAAAGAGCAGGTTTTTAGACTGTTCTTTGAAATGCAGACTTGACCTTTGAGGACAAGACTTTTACACAATAAAACCTGCTGAATTATGATGATGGATTATTGGTTATGTACTAAGTAGTGCATTTGATAGTGGTACCCTCATGATAACTTATGACATTTTATATTTGTTAACTGAAATTTTTTGGCAGATCACATTGAGGAAAAAAGGATCATTAAATTATAGTAATCAATTTATATATATTAGCGATGTAGCTAAAATACCATGTCTGTGCATTAAATTCCTACCTGTAGAGTAGAAGCTGCTGAGTCACTAGTGTCTGTCAGTCCTGTCCCTCTGGGTATGCTGGACACAATGTACCTGGAGCCCTTTGGCAGAGGCTGTCTAACCACCA